CACCTCAACCTAACATTTAAACTTTTCCCAACCACTACAGAGTTCTCCTCAGGCTCCCCTTACAGCTTGCTCTCAAAGCCATACTTCATATGCGTTCACTCTCCCGGCCACGCCAGCTGTATTGGGGTTTCTTCTAATAAATTTTGTACGCAGTCTTTTCTGGAGTTCTTCCTTTAACTGAGATTCCCTGTACAGCCTTCTCAGAATCTGTCAAAATGTGACTTGTCTTTTGAGGGGCAAAGGACATCTTACTACCCACACAAACCAAACCAGCTGCTCCACAGGCTGCTAAGAACAAAGTCTCTTCAAATATTTGAATCCTGACCTAGGATCTGGCTGTATGACCTTGGTAAAGTCAAAAAACTTCTCTGAGCCTCCATTCCTTTAGTATCTAAAGAGAATTAAAACATTGTCCTCAGAGTATGGCTATGAGGATTGACTAGCCAGGCCCTGATGTGCAGTCAGCACCTATGTAATGTCACCAGCATGAACCAGCACAGTCATGTATGAAATACCGCATCCACTCAAGAGCAAGGACAGGCACTCCTGGTCTAGCATCTTCAACCACAGCATGGACCCTTGACTCTCCCCACTTAAGACTGATGCCTTAACTCCAGCATCAGCTCAAGTGGACTGAGCCTTCTCCATGTGCCTTGCCTATATTACTTTCCTTAAACTTCATGGCAACACAGTAGTGCAGGTACCATCATGAGCCCTATTATACAGATGTGGAAACTGAGACACAGAGAGATCAGCTAACATACCCTCAGGTCACAGAAGGAACACATAGTCAGGCTGTTCAATCTTCCTCCAAAATTTGCAGCTTCTTTCTTGATGTGAGTTGATATCCTTCACCAGACCATGACAGCCTACAGCACAATGGTCAGACATCATGGCATTCCCCACACTGCCTTGCACATGGCCCTGTAAACACAGCAGCCAGAGAAGGGTCACTGAGTGAAGCACTTAAATGTACAAAAAGACATACAGAGATCTTATTTTCACAACAAAACACCCCACCCTTGTTGCTGTCTGCAAAAACATAATTATGTCTCTTCTCTCATGGGCCCTTGTGAGTAAATACATGCAGAGTGAAGCAGGAAATGTCAGGCAGCATGTCATTTGTAATTTTTTTTTTTTTTTTT